AGTTTATATATTTTTTAATTTATTCTGAAATTCAATACACACTTCCATTAAAAAGTGTACAGCCGAGGGGAATGTTAATTAATTTATTCTCAAAGAGTATACTTTCTTGCAATAATTTATCTGTGATATGAAATGTACTCTTCTTATTTAAAAATGTAAAATATTTTTCTTGATATTAGATGTTAGAAAATACAATACATTTTTTAGTTTTTTATTATGTAATTAATGAATTTTTTTAATACTCTTAATACTTCCATGTTAAATATTTAAGGCATTTTTGTAGAGATTGAATGTTAAAAAATACGAGACATTTTTAGTATTTTAAGGTGTAATTAATATTTTTTTAAATGTCTATAATAAATAAATCACTTTATATTTATTTTAAATTAAAACACCCTATTAAATATATGTGGAAATAGAAATATGGTGCTAGTTTGAAGATAATTAACTGCTTTATTATAGATAAAATTTAATTAAAAATATTTTATATTTTTTAATGGATAGAGTAAGTAAACCACACAACCCTTCATATTTAGGTGAGGCATCTTGTTAAATAAGAATAAATATGAAAGAGATGATATTAGTTTAAAGACAATTAATTAGCTTATTAGCAAAGCCAAGAATAAGTGTCGAGCTTAATGGACAGTCTGTTTAACACTGTTTTTATAAAGGTTCAGACTTTTTTTTTGACCAAAATAAAGGTTCAGACTTTAAAATATAACATTTTTCAAGAAAATCGAGCTTTGAAGCCTAACCCTAATAGGTAATGAAAAAATGGGCTTGGATGGCTCTTTTTCGTTTTACCCATAAAAAATTAAAATATTTTTAATTGAATTTAAAATTTATAATATATGTTTATATTTTAAAATTAAAATTTTTATTATTTATTTTAAATTTTTGAACATTATAATTTGTATATTAAAAAGATACTCTATTTATCCCAAATTATAAGACATTTTTAGAAAAGATTTAGCGTTTAAAATATAAAACACTTTGAGAAAAATAATATTTTTTTAATATTACTTTCACATATATTCTCTCTCTTCAATATTTTTTCATTAATAAGGTATTAACTAAATAATATTTTTAAAATTTTATATTTTAATATTGAAAAAGTAAGGTTGTAAAGTGATTTTAATGAACTTTATTGACATATTAAATTTTATGTAAAAATATCTTATTATTTGAAATGGGACGAGTACAAAATATCATCATTGAAAAATTTAATTAAAAAAATAAAAAAGTAATAATAATAATAATAATAATAATAATAATAATAATAATAATGAGCCTACAAGCTAAGCTAGAAGCACTTTAAATAAAAACTAGGATTTACAAAATGACCCATTTTGAAGTAACCAACTTGCAGGCTTGAACCTTTAAAAGTTGAGATTATATGCGTTAGGCCAGCCGTTTCCCAGCTCCACTTAGTAGAGAGCGTAATTTAGTTAAAATGTATTATATCTTTAAATGGGAAAATATACAACAAGAAACAAACATTTTAATTCTGTAATTTTCAACACATTGATTATTTCTAGCATTAATATAATATAATTTAATCTGTTCTCAGAGGGAAAAAAGCTTGTGTTAGTACCGTGATCTCATTTTGCAAATCACTTTCAAGATATTCTGTCAAAATTAAAGAAAATTCCAAACTCATTAATTTTTTTTAAAAATGTAATAGTTTTTTAAATTTACTTTTATTAATCATAAATATTTTAATAATATATTTTATTTTATTAATATTTATGGGATAAAAAATTCATGATATTAAATTAATAACATATAATAGAGAATGATAAAAAAAAATATCTCACTCTACCTCATAATTAACAGGCGAGAGAGTATATGATTATATTTCTTTAATTTTTCATTTATAACGATGCGGGTCAAAAATTCGGACCCAAAATTCATAATGACATGGCGCCATTGACCAAATCCGCCGATCGAGGAAGTGGTATTTATGTCATTTCACAAAAAAGAATCGGATTGGAAAAGGATTAAATAGTTTGATTCTTAATTTTTTCTAAAAAAAAAATTTACTGTTTCCGTCTTGTTGTCGGAGACTGAGGGATGAGGATCTCAATGCGAGCATTTTCACGGTCAGGGCATGACCTACGTCGACAACATTGAGGTATTCACCGGTTCCGTCGGTAACCACCAAATCCCACCGGGGATTGGCGGTCAAGACTAACGAGAAACTACGGAATTTGGAATTAGGGGTAGGGGCAAAAGAAATCTTAAAACGACAAGGCTACGAAACCAAGTTCCCCCAAACGCGGGTTCCCATTGGTCCACGTGTCGACATGTCATTATCAGTTGTAGTCTGGATTGCATTTCTGGGACCTTTTCTTTTCTTTTTTCTTTTCTTTTTTTTTCCTTCCCTCCCCTGGTGTCTGTCCTTTTGGAATTACTTAAGTAACCATCTCCTCATTCGATCTCCTTCCGAATAAAGATCCATTCATCTTCACGATTTCGGCCACTCAAAACGTCCGCGCGTGCACGCGCTTTTCAAGCAACTTCTTCCCCTGCCGTTTTGCCTTTTTTATTTATTTATTTTTTTAACTCGACAATAGTTTGTTTAACTAAATACGCTTCAAACGGGGGGAAAAAACTAAAAAAGAAGTTTCACCCGTGAATTAGAAGTTTATTATCAGTGACATAATATTAAAAAATACACAATTTTGGACCCTTTGACAGTAATACCTAATTCAGGTACTGTTTTTTTAGGTTCGCGGGGCCTTCCTAGAAATTAAATATCTGAAATGTCCCTAGAAGTTTTAGCCAAAAGCTTTTATTTAATAAATAAATATATAATTGAACAAGTAATCCAAATTAAAATCGTTTTTTCTAAGTTCAAACCAGTTAGGGAGGAGAGAAAAAGTTTAATCGAAACTTGTATTCTCGGCCACAGGCAATTTTTTGGCTTTTGGCTCCCAAATATTTTTTTTCCTTAAATTATTATACACTCGTGGTTGCTTACATTTATACCAATTCAACACACACGCTTTTCAATCTCAATCTCCTGGAATGAAAATCTTGGCTCACCTTTTATTGTTGATTTAAATTTTTATTGATAAAAGAACTATTTGAAGAGTCGCCTAATTTATCGGGATAATTTTTAAATTTGGATAAGTTGGTAATATGATAGATGAAGTTGTATTAAAAATGAGTCCCTGTGTAAAATATGCCGATTGTTATAATTTATCCATACATTAGATAAACAAATCTCTGGTAGCTAGATAGATTATATATTTTAAACCTTTAATTAGCAATCTATTTAGTGTTTCACTCATTGTTTCAAGAATGAGGTCAGGTGACTGATTAGACCAGTTAATAATTTGGTTTGGAACAAAAATCATTTTTATTATTAAGTTAGATTAAACTTGAGTTCAGTTGTCATTGAAATGGAAATAGAAATGAAGTCAGTTTTCAAAAGATTGAAAGTCAATACCTGTTATAAAAAAATTATTTGTTATAAATTCAAAACTCTAGACCCTACAAAAACCAAATTATTTTTCGACCATTCACATGATAATATGATTTAAAATTATTTTCTTATAAAAATATTAACAACTATAATATAAACATAGATACTTTTAAACTTACTTATGCATGTTTAACTACAATTTACTTATGCTTAACAAGTTATAAAATATAAGTTATAATTATAATATTTTTTATATATGATATCATTGTGCTATTTTATTGACAATCAAATTTATTGTAAATTTATTTATTTACTAGTATTCATTATATATTATATGTATTTCATATAATCATTTATTTAATTATTATATTATTATTAGCTCACCTAACTAGTGCATCAAGTATTCATGAGATTGTTGTTAATAATGACAATTTAAGCTGATTTGTTTTAACTTATTTTATAAAAAAATACTTATTTTTTTAAAAATTTATTTTATGAGTTTTTATGATGTTTGTTTAAAATTTTAAAAATAAATTAAATATAAAAAATTATATTTTTGATTAGTTTATAAAAATAGTTTAAGAAAGTATTTTAAGGAGGCTGGATATATAGACGTGCCATAAAATTTTAAATTAATAAATAATAAATTATTTTTATAAAATAAAAATTAAGTAGGATATTATAAAATTAAAAATAACTAATCAATAATAATTTTATTATTATAATTAAATATAAAATAATGCACGTTTTTAATACAATATTTTTTATAAAAATTTTAAGCTAATTAAAAATTATTTAATTTTTTGGGGAATCAGATTCGGTAGAAAGATTAAAAAAAAATGACAAATGGCTTCAACAAACTACGGACAGGTCAAAAGATAAATTATATTAATATTGCTTTGACATTAAATTACTGTTCCAGCGAGGATGCAAGTTTGACAAGAAATCACAGTTTCTCGAGCCCGAGCGTGATGTTTCCTCGAATGGGTATTGGTTTTTTTTTTTTTTTTTTTGGCCAAAGAATGGGTATTGTTGTGAAGAGCTGAAGTTCGTTATTAAATGAGATTACGTTTCCGCTTTGGCTCCAGTTAGCTAATCGCCATCCATTGCGCATGAACCCCCATATTCAGAAAACAATTTAACGGTTCAGATCTTGAGTTGCACAGACATTCGCCCTCCTTGCAATTCAACTCAAAAATATTTTTTTAAAAATTTAATTTTTAATATTTTTTCACTTTAAATTATAAAATATTTTTTTTGAAAAATTTTATTTTAAAATATAAGACACTTCATATAAATTAAAATTTTATTAAATATATTAATTTTAATATTATTTTTTTATAATTAATTTTTATTTTTTTAATATATTAAATAATAAATATTTTAAAAAATTTATATTTTTATTTTGAAAAGATGAAATTATTAAATATATTTAATAAAATTTATTAATATATAAAATTTTATTTAAAAATATTTTATAATTTCACAGAATAGCAGTATCAAATAAAGTCCAATAAGAAAGCGAAGACGACCTTTTAACTCGCCTTCTCCTCCGTTATATTCACCAGAATCATTTCATTTCCATAAGAAACCTCTCTCTCTCTCTCTCTCTCTCTCTCCCAATCTCCATCTTCCCCTTCTCTTTCTTTGCCTTGTTCATTTCTCTCTGTCTCATGCGTTTCTCCAAAAACCCAACCTCTTGATAGCTCTCATTATCGTCATCATCATCATAATCATCTGAGGCTGAGGCGTTGTTCCGGTGAGGAAAATGTCATCGCCGGGATTCACGGGTGGGAGAGCACCGGAGTTCTACGGCGGAGTGAGCCGATCCGTGGCGGCAACCGTCAGGAACGACCCTACCAACGCCAACAACCTTCAACCTTCTTCTCTTCATCCTCTGTACCGAACCCAGCAACAGCAGCAACACCCAGCAATTTTTCTAGATCCTTACACGCAGATCGCTAGGCAAAATCCGAGTCTCATCAGGAAGCGAACCCTCGCAGAATTTCAAACTCACCAACAGAACCACAACAATCAGGTTCTTTCAAGCCTCCTCTTGCGCTCCGTGAAGCCCAGGACCTTCCAGAATAGCTCTCCCATGTCTCCTATGTCACCCATGGATTTCTCCATGTCCCCTGAATTGCCAAACTCTTCGGTTTTCTCGTCGCAGCGCTTTGGGGTGCCTTTGCTTCAGCAATCTCGCCCACAGACGATGAATCTCCCAAACGCAGCCTTATCCAGAGCAGGGTTTCAATATTTGGATGGTAATTTGGCCCAGGAAAGTGAGAAGAAGGTCATGGACCATCGGCTTCAGGAATTGGAGAAACAACTTTTGGAAGACAACGACGAGGAAGAAGGCGATCCGGTATCTGTGATCACCAGCAGCGAGTGGTCACTACAGAACCTCATCAGTCCCGGAGCGCAGAAACCAATTTCGTCGTCGCCTACTTCGTCCACAACCTCGACGACGTCGTCATCTTCCTCCGTTCTTTCACCTACTTCCACCTGTTTGAAGCAGTCGTTAATGGAGGCCGCATCTGCAATTGCCGATGGGAAATCCGACTCCGCCGCGGAGATCCTGTCCCGTTTGGCCCAGTTTTCAAACCCGAATGGCAATTCGGATAACCGATTGACGGATTGTATGATCTCCGCGCTGAAATCTCGTGTGAACCCACAAGAAAATCCACCTGCAGCTGTAGAACTCTTCAGCAGCGAACACGCCGAGTCCACTCAGTTGCTCTACGAACATTCTCCGTGCTTCAAGGTTGGGTTTATGGCGGCCAATCTGGCAATCCTCGAAGCCGCATTCGATGACAACACGGAGAACAACGGCAGTAACAAGTTACACGTGGTCGATTTCGACATCGGCAGGGGCAAGCAGTACATAAATCTCCTCCACGCGCTATCTGCGCGTCAGAATGGAAAACTGGTCATGGTGTATATCACGGCGGTCGCAGAGAACGGCAGTGAAGAGAGGTTGAAGGTGGTGGGTGATATGCTGAAACAGCAGGCAGAGCAACTCGGAGTCGGGTTCGAGTTCAGGGCGATAACCCAACAACTCACCGAGTTAACGCGTGAGTCTCTAGGGTGCGAACCCCACGATCCTCTCGCAGTGAATTTCGCTTTCAAATTGTACAGAATGCCCGACGAAAGCGTTTCCACAGAGAACCCACGAGACGAGCTGCTCCGGCGTGTGAAGGGGTTGGCCCCGCGCGTGGTGACGCTGGTGGAGCAAGAGATTAATACCAATACGGCGCCGTTTACGTCCCGCGTTTCCGAGTCGTGCTCTTATTACGGCGCGCTATTTGATTCGCTCGAGTCAACAATCTCAAGAGACAACTCGGAGCGAGTGAAGGTGGAACAAGGACTGAGTCGAAAGCTGAACAACTCGATCGCGTGTGAAGGAAGAGATCGCGTGGAGAGGTGCGAAGTATTTGGGAAGTGGAAGGCGCGTATGAGCATGGCGGGTTTTCAACTGAAGGGAATGAATCAGAGAATCGCCGAGCAGCTAAAAGTGCGACTCAGCCAGGGCAACCGAGTCAACCCGGGATTCACGGTGAAAGAAGAGAACGGTGGGATTTGCTTTGGTTGGATGGGTCGAACACTCACCGTCGCATCTGCTTGGCGTTAACTTCACTCACTTTTTTCCCTTTTCTTTATATCCAATTGTTATTACTATATTTTAACGTTATCTAGCTATAATGGAAAGGCAAAAGCAACATATATTTCGAAATTGAGAGGAAACAAAAACAATTATCTTCCACCAAATAAAATTAATAAATATAGTGTTTGGATTCCCAGAAACTTTATATTCCCTGATTCGTTTACCTATCTATACAGTCTAAGGGTCATTCATTATGCAACAATTTATTTTGCCAAAAATGTTGTAACTGCTATTCTCATGCCTTGATATATCCAATTGTTAGTATATTTTATGGCCATTTCGAGACCATGGGAAGCCTAGAGGAGCATATTTGGCAATGGAAAGATGAGAGAAGGGAATATATCTTTCTTCTTCGACCAAACTCAATTAATGAGAGTTTGGATTCCGAGAGAAACTTTGCTCGCTTTTCATTTGGTATTCATTCATCATACATGCACTAACTTTTGGTTGGTTGTATGTGAAACGGGTTAGTTGCTGTTTGGTAGACAGCTGACTATTTTTTGCCAACAAATGAGAGCTTCATTAATTTACATTTGTAGATGTAGATGAAGCTTTTTTTAAAAAAACATAATCGTTGTTCCCTTTAGTTTTATTAGGTCTTATTTTTAATTTTTATAGTTTTTTCAATAATTTTAATCTCTGTAGTTCTAAAAATATTGGGTGATATTTATTTTTTAAGTTTCTATAGTTTCAATTTTTTCAGCATGAACTGAAAACTTGATAGGGACTAATCATGGTAAAAAAAATAAAAAACTGAAAGAAACTATAAGGATTAAAATTAAAATCCTATGAAATTATAGCGATAAAAAATTATGTTTTTCTTTTTTTTTTTGATTGTACGTAGTTGATTTATAATTTTAATCACTTTTAATGTTAATTCTTTTGTATAGGACAAGCTTTAAGGTCTTGATCGTGATCTTTGAGAAATTCATTTTTTTTTTGTACTTTTGTATGCTATAATATAGACAAATACAAAGCTAAAAGTAATATGAAAATAGATTTTTTTTTTAATTTAAAGTTGATTTTAACTTAGAAGTTTAGGCAAAAAACTTTCTTTTTATTTTTTCTCGAGTATAATGAGGTTTTATTATCGGGCTTTTAAAAAGAGTTAGGAATTCAAATCCTGTCCCTCGTGCATGTAACAATTTAGTTAGAAAATATATATCTTTTTCTTCCACATCTTAGACGAGAAAATTTCTATTGTTAGTGGAATTTACTCTTTTTTCTACAAAAACAAATAATGAGATACTATTTGCTATGCAATTATGCTAGCAAGACTTTGTTTACTATAAAATATTTTGAAATACTTTGATTACTGTAAAATATTTTGAAATACTTTGATTGCATTTTGTTTTTAATATTTATAATTTTATTTCATTCTTCCCAATCATTTTAATTTGATCTGTCTACAACGTTAATTTCTATAATTTTAAAAATACATATCAAGATCATGAGTAGATACCAATATTGTTATTTTTGGTAATGTATACTTAACTCCATTAAATCATTTGTTAGCTAGCACTTACTATTGCTTTTGTTTTCCACGTTCTATTTAATCTAATCATGCAAGAAAGCCTTTCCTCTTATCTCTTAATTATACCTTATCAATTTAGTTTAATGTCAGCATATTTCTACCATTTCAATATAAGGGTTAGCAAAGTTGCAGTGGAATTAATCATGTTAGCGTAAGCTCACAGTTTTTATGTTAATTTTTAAAACCATAGAAAGTAACATTGTAGAAGGATCAATTTAAAAGGGTTGAGGACAATGAAATAAAAACATAGGGACTAACCAATAAATATTAGTCTAATTGTTAAGGATTTGACTTATAATGTACAAGATTGTGAGATTAAATCTTGCTATCGATGTGAGAATTTTATTAATAGATAATTTAAAAGTGCCTTCACATATGTTCATTGAATCTAAAGACATATTTTGATTTTGTTGAGTTTTCAAACTTTGCTCACGCAAACTTTTGTTGGTCTTGAAAAAATATGGAGTCAAAAAATAGGGCCTCCCATTATATTTTTCTATTTTTTTTGATAAACTACACTTTCCTATTTTTAATCTAACGCTTGATTGGCGAAGGTGTTTTTTTTTTTTTTGGGATTAAGATTGATTGACATAAGTTAATTGGTTCAAAATATCATGAGTAAACTGGGTCGCTATTAAAATAAGTTCAAGAATATGAGGCATCCACGGGCTAATGCTATGGACAGTTAAAGAGAAATCTGAGTCTTATTGAGTCTTATCCCCTATAGGATTGGAAATCAGGGGCATGCCACAATTCTTAGGATCCATTGGGCTGGATTCTCAATTTCTCATAATCCCAATTTTTATAAAAATTAAAATGTTGAATGTTGGTTCAACCCATCAAATTCCCGTTTTTTGTTCTCGGTTTTTTCCCCACTTGTTGGCCGCCGCAGACAACGGAGCCTGAACGTAAACTCCCAAATCCCCATCCTCCCTCCGAGTCATTCGCACCTCTAGACTTCGCATCACTCCTCCACGACTCGGGCAGTCTGTGCGTGTAGCTCGCGACAGAGGACGAATTGACTCGTCTAATCCACAACTTCACTCCCCGCCTCCTCTGGTTAGTACCCTAAGGGCTAAGGCCTAACACTTTCGCCGTTCCCACAAACGGTCTGTTGAGTGCGTGGCTTTTGGGGCAAGGCACTATTTAGACACCAGCTATCTGTTCCTCCGAGCTAGCAGAAGCATATTGATTCTTTATATTTTCAGTCCTGAGCTGTTGCTTGTGATAAATAACAACTTATTTAGGTGATACTGAAGCACATTTATAAGTAATACTTATAAGTGAAAATTGATTCTAAGTTTTTGTTTTCTTCTTCTTGTTTAGCTATTTTGGTGACATTGATTTTGAGTTCTTTTACTAAGCAAGAAACCCATATTTAAGGTGGAATTAGCGTCAAATGATTGCTTTTTTATCTCCCTGTGTCCATAACTTTGCTTTTATTTGTCTCTTCCCCACAAGGAGCTATCTTCCTGGCTCTGCAAGTTTCATTGAGCCTAATCACCTGCATTCTCCTCAGTCCTCAGGTTCCTAGCAATGCGAAAACCGAGATCAAGGGACTTCCACAAGCAGCAACGGCTTGCAGAGGAAGATGAGATAAAGCTTTTGGACTCATGGATTCAATCCCAGAAACCGGACTCCGGATGTAACCCTATGTCATTTGCCCCTTTATCCTCCAAGGACCCTGTAGGTCGCATTGATGGCAATACATTTTCGCGTTATGTGGGTGTCACGAGGTTTGACCAATTGCCAATTTCCAAGAAAACCAAGGATGGATTGTTAGAAGCTAAGTTTGTTAAGATGACCGATATCCAAAGGGCTTCTTTGCCCCATGCGCTTTGCGGGCGAGATATTTTGGGTGCATCAAAAACTGGGTCTGGAAAAACCTTGGCTTTCATTATTCCGGTAAGGGTAGCTTAAACCAAAAGTTTCTTATCCTTTTATTATTATTATTTTTTAAAGTAGGAGTACTGTGATTTAAACATCAACATATCTTTCCCATTCTAGTTCTTTCACAAACGCAAAAAGTTTCTGCTTCCAATGGATTTGCTGAAAGGTGTATCCAATCAAAGGAAATAGTAATCATTTTTTTTTTATACAGGAAATAGTAATCAATTTTTTATGCAATTGTTTAATTGGTTTTACTTGATGCAGGCTTGCATAGCTTATTTTGTCTAATCGAATAAGAGGTTGTAGGAGAAGTTTGATTTTTATTAGTTAGCTAGCATGATTGTATCATTGTGTATAATAAGATTCCCAAGCTCCTAGTGCCTGAAGCAGTTAGAAAGTATCCTTTTGCTTTAGTTTCTTGTTCTCCATGTGACATGTCATATTTGGTAATAGTTGTATAAACCAGAATGTTTTAGATGACATGTCATATTATGATTTTTGCTGGGTATGGCTATGGCAAGAAAGTAGCATAAGAAGAAAACAGGACGAAATGACTGGTGTTTTCAAATTGTTTGGGTACTTTTAGTGACGCTAATTCTGTGCTGTGAAAACCTCACTGCAATTACAGTGTCATTGACAGTTGAAATATGTACAAGTCTTCTCCTACCAAGGCTATTGTAATTTCACCAATAATTGTGGGTTCTTCATTTTGTCCTCTGAATGATTTTAGGTATTATGCTTATCTAGTAAAAGCATTTTCTGGGGAAGAAGCTATTAATCTTCTGCTGAATTTCCTAAATAAAACTAAGGAAGCATTTTATTCTCTTCATTTATGCACTTTATTGTCAATGACAGGTCTTGGAAAAGTTATATAGAGAGAAATGGGGGCCTGAAGATGGGGTAGGCAGCATCATCATATCCCCTACAAGAGAATTAGCTGGTCAACTCTTTGATGTTTTAAAAAGCGTTGGTAAGCACCATATTTTCAGTGCTGGCCTGCTGATTGGTGGTCGAAAGGAAATTAATGTTGAGAAAGAACGCGTAAATGAGCTGAACATTTTGATCTGCACACCTGGTCGCCTTCTACAACACATGGATGAAACCCCAAACTTTGATTGTTCACAGATTCAGGTTATTATATAATTCTTATTTTTTTTCCATGGATTAAATGATCCAAATTCTTGAGGAAATTCTGGGGAAAAAATGCAAATGAGAATTATATGAACATTAATTTATCATCTCAAGCGTTAGTTCTATATGTCTTTTCTGGTGCTGGATCCTATATTTCTTGACAATTTAAATTCTATTGCAAAATCTACTTAAAACCATATTGATTAGTAGTGTCACTTTAATTATTATTATTCAATTCAAATTTGATAAATTAGCCCCCCAGCCCCGGCCACGGCCCTAATATTTGCTCACAGAGACAGATTAGCATATTCTGTCCAATGTAGATCATGATTGGGTGGATAACGTTTGTTAGTATCCAGGTGTTGGTGCTAGATGAGGCAGATCGGATTCTTGACAGTGGATTTAAGAAGGAACTAAATGCGATAATATCACAGCTTCCTAAGCATAGACAAACCCTACTCTTCTCAGCAACTCAAACTAAGTCTGTTGAAGTTCTTGCAAGACTAAGTTTAAAGGACCCAGAGTATCTGAGTGTCCATCAAGAGTCTGTGACTGCCACCCCTACTCTCTTGAGACAGCTTGTGATGATTGTTCCTCTGGACCAAAAGTTAGATATGCTGTGGAGTTTCATAAAGTCCCATCTTAACTCCAAAATACTTGTCTTTCTCTCTAGCTGTAAACAGGTAATTTGTTTGAATCTAATTGTTTTGTGTTAGATTTTCTTTCATCAGTGTTTTTTGAGAAAATTTTTATTCTTTTCAATTTCTATCATAACAATCATCTCCTGTTTTCAGGTAAAATTTGTTTTTGAAGCATTTAAGAAACTTCGCCCTGGCATACCCTTGAAATGCCTTCATGGGAGGATGAAGCAGGAAAGAAGAATGGCAATATATTCTGAGTTTTGTGAGAAGCGGTCAATACTCTTGTCAACTGATGTGGCTGCAAGAGGGCTTGATTTTAATAAGGCGGTTGACTGGGTTGTTCAGGTAAGTCTCTTGTTACTGGCCCATTTTTCTGCCTTTTTTGAGTGGGTGGAGGAAGGAAGAAGTTTGTTTTATAGCTGGAGGCTGACCTTCTGTCTTATATCTGTAGGTGGATTGTCCTGAAAATGTAGCATCTTACATACACAGAGTTGGCAGAACTGCTCGCTACAAGTCTGGGGGTAGGTCAGTTTTATTTTTGATGCCTTCAGAGATGAAAATGCTTGAAAATTTAGAAGCAGCTAAAGTTCCAGTACATCTTAATAAGGTATGCTATTCTTGCTTTGTAAATCATCTATTCGCCTATGATTCTGACATCAACTGCAGAAGGGGAGAAGAGGTAGAGAGAAATAGAGGAAAAAAGGGGAAAAAGGGAGAGGATGTGTCTTTATGTTCTTATAAAATTTCTAGAACTGAATGTGAAGCGCATAACCTAAACGAAACTAAAAGCAACACGTGTAAAGCCTATTCCTAAATTTAACCTTAGTTGTGATTTAATCACTGATTCACAAATTATTACAAATATCAACAGTCAACATTGAAATAGATGAATGGGACAGTAGATAACACAAAATAGCATATACAACGCCCCAGGAGAACATTGCAGCAGCTCTTCATTCACGTCAACAGCATTATATAACGATGTATTGAGGTTAGTTTTAGAGATTCCAGTGTGTGGGTGCCATTAGTTTGGCTGATGAGCATATCCAACATGTGCTAAATAACAGATTATGCACACTAATAATACACTACTAGAATAACAGAATGCACAAAGTAGCGCGCACACACTTTAAGGTACAGCTAGACCATCCATCTGTCTTAACACCCTCTCTCAAGCAAGAGGGTGATAGAGAGACCCCAAGATTGTCTCTTTGGTACCATTACATGGAGCGAGGGCCTTTGTGAAATTATTTTCTGTTTATTCAACCTGAGGATGATGTGAAATTGCTGATTGTTTTGCTAGTACCCTATCTTGGATATTGAACGTCTAGTTTAATATGTTTAGTTCTTGCGAGTACACTAGGTTGGCTGCCAAAAGCTATGACAACTCATACTATTGCACCGTATTACTTTTGTTCGAAGTATAATAAAACTAGTCTCATTTAGAAGGGGCTGTATTCATGCTAATTCAGTTGCAAGTAGAGCTAGAGATTTATATTTGGATTTAGTGCAAGACCTGCAGGCTAAAAGAGACTTACAAGCTGCACTAGCGGTTGGGTATGGAGAAGCACATCTAAAAAACTTCCAGCATGTTAATACGTAATTCTTATGGCTCAGATAGAGAGCTTTTGCATCCCTGTAGGCTTCTATACTTAGGAAACCATATATTTGACCCATATTCTTGTGATTGTGAATGAAAGAGCTCATGCTGTAGAAATCATTCCAAACTATTATGATGTTATCCATATAAATTAGGATGCCTCTTATACAACTTGAAATGAAAAAGAATGCCTAATCAACATTTCTGTAACATGCCTGTCTCCCCCTTTTGGTGCACTGTTTAGCTGAGAAGTATGAGGGCATGAATAATGAAATAGAATACCTGATCATGTACTAGCTTGGAGAAACTTTGATGTTTACAATCCCCATCACTTTGTAAATTTTCCCCGTATGGAATTGATTTTTGGCTTGTTTCTTATAGGTGATAACTACATCTAGTGTTTCACCTTTATGTCAATTGATGCAGCCAAGTAATCTGGCTATAGTCATCGACAAAGTACACTTAGAACTAGAATCCATTGGTTGATGGAATTGATGGTGTTCTCCACAAGTCAGTCTAACTTAACTCTAATTTAACTTTGTGAAAATTTAAAAGGTAAAAGTGTGTAGTTTTCCAAACTGACAAGAGTCATAAAAAGTGATATCTTCATCGGGATCCAACTTGACATTACAGCTCTTTGAAACTTAATTCAGTACTTGATGAGCTCGAGCCTTAGCCTATAGTGCCACTTTGGTACTATTGACTCTGTGCCATGATTGTATTTGCTGTTCTTTTTCTGCAAAATTGTGTTTGCATAAGATGAACTTAGACCTGGATCGTGTCTAAGTCCTCCATCAATCATCCCTTTCAGAAGAATCCTCCTTGTATCTTTCTTCTTCACACAGCACTATAGCAGCCATTTGTCCTTCGCATTTGCTTCATTATTCTTGCTATGTTCAGTGAAGTTATGGTAGCTTCTGCCGAACCTCTAATTGCTGGCAGCCATAGAGTGCCCTGCCCTATCATAGACTATTATTTCATGCTGACAGCTGCAATTTATTTACGGTAAGAGTAGCAGATGGTCTAGAATTGGGGAAAGTAATGGGAAAGTGTCATTTTAGGACAGCACAGCACTTGAATGTGGGCAAGGAAGTGGGAGAGTATGGGGGTTACCTCTGAATCATGTCACAATTGACAATAGTTATGGCAAGCTTATACTAAATGCGGCTTGAAGTCACGAAAATCAAATGCAGGTGCACGACTCACAAATGATAAATGTGAGTGCAATGCTTATGAAAGTCAAACTAGCTAGTCATAACCATGGCATGTCAAGGACTAATGAAATTATTGTTAGTAACTAGTGTTTTGCTTATAGTCCTTTAAAAATCAATTTTCAAACATACAAGAAGATAATTATTATCCAAATAAAATTTTCTCTTCTCAATATCAAACTTGCATGAATAATTTAAAACATCAATCCTTCTGAATGTGAAAATTCTCAACTAATGTTACATGAACTTTTTCACCAATTTCCATTATTGTCTTCATCAAATAGATGAGTACTAGAAGTTGTAAAAGCATTTTTGTCAATCTTATGAGTGTATGTTATGACTTCAAAAGGTAAAATAGTTTAATTAACAAAAGTAATCTGTGAAGGGGAAATACATATTAATAATTGAAAATTATTGAAAATAATATTTTGACAAAAGGTAATTTGCTAATAATTTAATCGATTGGGATGTTATTCACTTACTTAAAAAAGCCCCCAACAAATACATTTGAACCATCATTATGAGTCAAAAGTTTAAATTTCTTCTCTATTCTTCATGCCTTGATCTTAGCCTAAAGTTTGGCATTTCAAAATTATGAATTTCTCATCAAAATAATGATTCAATTGATCTCTATAATTCTTAATCACACTTATTCTATAACAATTTTGTTAAACAAACTTTATAGGAACTCATGGAAAATCATCAAGAAATTCTCCGCCCTTTGTCAATACTAGAAGTTTTATACAATTGATCAATCAAAGACATCTCACTAATAGGACTTACTACCAGGAAAGTATATTCATGCATATAATAACAAGTAGAATTAAAATCAAACAATACCTAAGCCTTCTGAGAACAAAATATAATAATACTTGTGACTATTTTATTATATCATTGAGTTTCTTATTAGTACATGTGAGGTCCATGTAGGAGGTAGCTTGTACATCTTGTGATTTTTATGTCTTGTATTGGGATTCTCCATTGGGTTTATTAGAGTAACATTGAATCTCATGATCGCTGCTATGAGCTTGCAAAATGGGCAAAAAACGTGTCAAAATGACAAAATTCTGACACACATATGGTCATGGTTCTGTGCCAGTGGCGTCACAACTTTGGATTATTAATTAGAGTAACATTGATTTTCAAAAACACTGTTATGAGGCTGCAAAATGGGCAGGACAAAAACATGTCAAAAACCACAAAATTCAGAGGCACACATTGTCATGCTTCCTGCATCAAGGGTGAAACACTGAGAAATCAATTGGCATGTGTGGTCTTCTCTTGCAGATGTTTTAGGGTTATTAGATTGATTCATGGGTGATGGTCATTGTGGAATGATTACATCTTGGGTTCAGTGATCATAGGTAAGTCAAAAGCAGTGAATAATGGTGCACTCGTAGGACAAACAGGAGAGGTGAGATGAGGTAGAGAGGAATAGAGGAAATTGGGGGGGGGGGGAGAGAGGGAGATGAGTATGTTATGGGAACACTAGATTACCACTGAATTAGTTACTAGAGGTTACTAACTAACTGCTCCTGTATGTTATATAAAGGACGTCAGGAAGCAGAGAGAGACTATGAACTGGGAGTTGACAGTTGAATCCCCCCTACCGTGTTTTTTTTTTCCATTTTTTCCTGTACCCGAAAAGCATAGAGATTTTTCATTTCATTGTTGAGACTAAATGTATAGTCTTCAACTGAAGGTCTGAAAATGGAAGTGGAAATCACATGCCTAAAACAATGAAAGAAATAGTAATAAAAAATATTGCTGAATTTAGTGTTAATTGATGTTTTAATCCCTTATTTATAAATAACCACCCATCACTGATACTGCCACTGCACCTAAGCAATTGCATAGATGCCATTTTCAAAGGATTCTATATTTTTGTATTTGTTATGATTTACTATTGACATCGCATTTCATCTAGCTTTGCTAACATCCTTTCAAACTGCTGATTTTTTTTTTCAGCCTAGGAAGGAACGACTGCAACCAGTTTCTGGTTTGTTAGCAGCATTACTGGTCAAGTACCCTGATCTCCAGCAATGGGCAAAAAGGGCCTTCATAACATATTTGAGATCCATTCATATCCAGAAGGATAAAGAAATCTTTGATCTTATGAAATTGCCTATTGATGAATATTCAGCATCATTAGGTCTGCCCATGACCCCAAAAACCCGATTTCTTAACCAAAAAATTACATCTAAAGCTGCGTCAACAAAACCAATTTTACCGGAACCGAAAGATTCTCACAGAGAAATTGCATTGGAGGTTCCAGGAGAGAATCTGGACGTTAATGGTCCTGAGGAAGAGGAAAAAGGCCTTCTTTTGCCGGACAATTCCTCTGATGAAGGGGAAGGGAAAGCACATGAAATTGTAGATGTCATGTATGTATCTTCACATAATCTACGCGTTACAGAAATAGTGAAAATTTAGATTCCTTTGTAAATTATTGCATCATATTCTACATGCACAAATAGATGGTTGACAATGGTTCTTTATTTGGGATGAAATGGACTATTTGAGCTTGCATACATAAATTAGGATGGCTTGTCAAAATTATTGTTTGGTAGATGGGTTCTGATATTTCCTGTTAGTGTGTTTTCTTTTGGTTTGTACAACCAACTTATTTGATTTTGCGACTTACTTCGTAGACCACCAACGCGTGTTTCAAAGAAAAAGAAGCTCAAGATCAACATTCATAGACCTATGGGGACTAGAGTTGTATTTGATGATGAAGGTAATGCTCTACCTCCACTAGCTAGGATTGCTGATACACAAATTGGCAAGGAAACACTGCTGCTGGATCCAGGTATGTCCCTTCTCTGCAATTGCAAATTAAAGGTAGACTAATAGGAACAATGCTGCATGGTTATATGTCTGTCATATTTGCTGAAGGCTATGATTGTCAGACATCTCATTCTAGTTGTATAATCTTGAATCTTGATGATTGACGACACTAGCTTGTTTATCACCTATTGATCTTGATCCTTTTCTGTTGGATGTTTAATTAAACAGAGGAAATATAGGTGCTAGAAGATAGGCCTAGATCATATTGAGCTAGTATGCGTTCTTTCTCCTCCCTTTTCTGTGAATATGACATTAACTGCCAAACATTGGACTTAACAAGAAAAAAAAAAAAAACGGTGGATGAGACTCAGATGTGGGAGAACAAATCTCTGTAGTAATATAAGCAGCTTTCCACTGACTGAGACAAAACTACAATATCTGTTAATAGTTGATTTGATTGTAATGCCATATATATGTAATATGATTGCTGAACTGTTTTGTTCCCAGAAACCTGATTGTGCCCATACCTCCTTTGGTTCTCATATTAATGTGTCTTGATTTCACTTCATATCACGGAGTTTACTCGACTTGTTTATATGTTCAGGCATGTAGAATGACCATCTTGTTTATTTCGCCATATATTAAATTAAAATCTCATCTTCCTGCAGAACAAAAAGCTGAATACTATAGAAAGATGCGTGAGGAGTTGAAGAAGGTTGACAAAGAAGACAAGCTTGTGCAACAACAGCGTCGGAGAGAGAAGAAAATGAAGGAAAAGATGAAGTGGAAGGAAAGAATTGCCGAAGAGGATGACGACGATATTTCTGGGTCAGAAGGAGATCAAGCTGCAGATAGAAGGCATAAAAAGAGTAAGATATATTTTGATGGTGATAGTGATGTCGACGCTAAAGGTACTGAAGTCATAGGAGGAAAAGAGGGTATCATCTCCAAGCCTGTTACGTTGGAGGAGCAAGAAGCATTGGCTCTGAAGTTGCTAAATTCTATGCACTCATAGGATATGTCATATGCTGATATGCCTACTTAAGCTCGTAAGACGACCCAACAAAAATGCCTTTGGAGGAAAGCATTTTTTTTTTTTCCAGTGCAGTAATAGTTAATTAGATAAAGGTTTAGACTTTAAGAGTGCAGAGTCGTGCGGTCAGCTCAGGCTTGATCAAAATTTTGCGGGAATTGGTTATTTTTCTTGTGATTAGATTTGCAGGAAATGTTCGTGAAAGTGAGATATATATATATATCTTAATTAAAGTTTTTTCCTATATGAGAAAAAATAGTTTCAACAAAGAACCCCACAAGGATTATGCGTGATTGCAAGGATACTTGAAACAATTGATATTAACATTTCATTGGAATTTTCGATGACTGTTTTAAATCTAATTGGAAACTTATTGGACATGGAAGAATCAATCACACAAACGAGAAATGATTATTAAATGTTAAAAGGTTAAAAGATATTTTTATCTCTAAATTATTTGGTTAGGGTTTATTTGCTTTGGAATGTTGGGTATTTTATACTTATATGTGGTGTCATTTTCCTTTAAACATTTAAAAATAATATACTAAATATATTGCTTTTCAAAAAAGTTAAATTTAAGGGTCCAAGAATGATAAAAAATGATTTAAAAATTACAAAAAAGAATTTTAGTATATTGCTTTTCAAAAAAGTTAACTTTAAGGGTCCAAAAATGATAAAAAATGATTTAAAAATTACAAAAAAAAATTCATAAAATTGTGAATAAATATCCTATAAAAAATTAATATTGATTAAATTTCTAACATATTGGTTGGTCAAAATTATATTTTAATTTTTTTATGTGGATAAAAATTAACATTTATATTCTGTTATTTATATGTAATTTAGGAGATTTAATTAATATTAATTTTTATAAGGTATTTATATGTAATTTTTTAGATTATTTTTTTTATAATTTTTAAGTCAACTATTGGTCACTGTATCATATGAAAATTTAGAATACTTCTAAGTAAATAATTTGAAGGACAAAAATTCTTTTTAATCTAATATTAAATGGATTGTAAACTTAATCCCGCTTCCCTTGGAAATAGTTCATTGAAGATTTTTTCTCCACAGAAAGGACCGACTGAGGAATTAGTTTTTGAGACGGGTGCCAATGTCACTCTTGCTTTTTACATTGTTTCCCTTATCATTTTCTTTAGTTTTTTTCTTTATTTTTTTAATTCATTATATTTTTAGATTTTCTAATACTACATTATACGGTATATGCCTTGCCGTCAACTAAGTTGTCTTCCATTCAACGAGAACCGCGTTTTTTCCAAGGCAATTCATACGTTCAATTAAACCGAAGCATAAATTTCACATGATGCTATGAAAACTTGATATCACTCGGGGCAAATGTGTTGGTTCGGGGCGGAACTACGCTGATGATGGACGGACGAGGCCAAGTTCCACCTCTTTCTTTAAATAAATAAACAAACTATATATATATGTGTGTGTATATATATATATACCAACCACAAACCATATATGAAAAAACATCAACATTCACTTTTTATTTGATTCATGCCAACATATATATATGTATATCGCCTTTTATAAAATTGTGAATACAAGTTTAAATATTAAAAATTTTCTTTATTAGTATTTAATTAAATAGTTTTAAATTACTTAAATTAATAATATTTATTAAATTAGAAAACTTGGCCCCTCAAATCTAAATTCTAGTTCTGCCTTAGTTCATGTTATCTTTATTTATATAATAAATAAATTTTATTGTATCATTTTATTTTTAAAAAATCTTTTCATTTTATTTTTTTTGGCAATTTATATGTCGACATTAACTAATTTTGAGTATAGAAACTAGGAAAAATTAGTTAAAAAGACTCAGTTGAAATGAAAATTGGTCCTAGGGACCAAATGTTATTGAAGAACCAAAATTATTATTATTATATTCATTTAATTAGTTTCTCATTTGACCAAAATGCCCCCATGCCTTATCTACTCCTCATTGTGTCAGCACCTCCCTTACGTTGTGTCCCTTCATTCAGGTTATCATCACATTGCTGATGTCACTATAGATAAATCCTTAATTGAGATGCTACCTTATCCCATGAGTTGAGATGATATTGACTTCCATTGTAAAATTACTAGGTAAGCTTTTACAAGGTTACTTTAATGTCGGCCAAACATTTTTTTTGCTTTCTCACTACTAAGGAAGTGGTTCTCACCACACTCATCGACCATTCATTCTCTTTTTCCTCTTCTTTCAGTTCCATTGCTTCTATTTCCTCTTCATCTAGTTTTCAACCATCACCTTCCTTATCCTTTGAAATACAAGGTATGGGTGCACCTTCCCCTTCTTCTCGCAACTTCTACACCTTCTTTGTTGGTGTCTTGCTTATGTGTCTGCTTATATTCTTTGTTTTCTACTCCGAATGCAATGGAAATTGGTGTTTTCATAAAGATATGGTTGGTTTTAGCTGTGCCTTAGCTTGGGGCTTTTGTCCTTGCAAAGCTTGTTGATGCTTGGTTATGAAAATTGACACCAAATAGTGTCCTTTTACATATGAAGCAAGGTTTGTTAGGCCAGCTGCAAAATTGAGGCCTCATCTTTACCCTGGGGATCTTGAAGTATAACTGAGATTAACCCTATTGAACAAATAATTGCTTATCACCTATTGTTTTCTAATCCATTCTATATTCTCACCACCTTTGTCAACTGATCTTTTCTTGCACCTTCACTTGTCATTGAAAGTTTATCATGATCAATGTGTTTTTTTTATGATTTTTTATCTACAAATTTGGAACAGCTTGTTTGAGATAGGGAATGTTAGATAATTATTTTTGAAAATATTAAAATAAAATTGTTTACTTTTATTGCATTTCTTTGTATTCATTTTTGAATTCAAACAAAATTGCCAATTTAGATGTTATATGAATATAATTTTAAGCCTTGAACTGAGTAAGATTTTTTTAAAAAATGACTGTGGATATTTTTTTTTTGATATTTCTTGTTCAAGCTTTATTGGTGGTGTCAAAACTCCATTTTTCTTTAAGAATGGTATACATTGCCAAAATCTATTGAAAATTTTCATCTAATATTGAGTTGCCAAAACCATTTTTAGGTAGTGTAATAGACTTCAATAAATTTTAATGTGTTGTTTGTTTTTTTGTTCTGAATGAAGAATGCATACTGCTAACATATGCTACAATTCATAAAATGTGATCATAAACAATATTTTAGTTCATCTCATCACTCTTGCACAAGGTTTTTAATTCTTTTACCTTTGGTAGCTTGAAAGAATTCCTAAAACTGTGCAATTAAGACCAACTTTATTTTTGTTCAATTTTATTTTTGTTCTTTTTTAAATGTTTGATTCTTTTATTTTGAAGGGAAGGTTTTCTATATGTCAACCCATAAAGTAGTGATTAATTAATGCTTGAATGACTCATTTATGATAGCTATTAATTTTTATTTCTGGCATAATGTTTTAGATGCACTGAAGCACTCAAGCATAAAGCTTTGCACCTTAAGCCAAAATCTTTACACTCTTTGGTTATTGAGTTTGCATGTGATCTTTGATAATTACATGTAATTAAGAGGTATTGATTTTTTTTTTTTTGTGAATCTTTATTGGCTACTTAGAGCTTCAACAAACATACTATCACCTATTGAAAGAGTAATCAGAGCTCCTGTTAAAGGTCGTTAGAGCTCCAGCGATCAAATTTTGTGTATTTTTCCTATTAGTTTTAGTTAATATAGAGAGATATTTTGGTCATTTGATCAAATTATTTTATAAATAAAATAATATATTTGGCACTTCAATCTACTTATTTTCGGGCGCAATTTTAATTTTAACTAGGCCTATACCAATTTTCCCTAATTAGTTTGTTTTCTAATTTTTTTAATGCCTCGTCCTTTCCAGTTTCACCGTCAACGCAAGAGGTGCAGAATCGAACCGTCACCACTCGCCACGACCCAATAAATTGAGTGCCACGTTGAAGCTTAGATCCATTGACGTTTTGCCAAGTATCGAAGCGCAAGAACTGACAGAGACTCCCATAACTGCTGTCTTAGTTTGAGACATCGCGCGACACATGTCACCACCAATTCGTGTTTTACACGACTGCCCTTTCCTGTCTCACGTTATCGGTTATTTCTTCCCCGCCTTCTCCTTCCTTCCTCCCTCTCTTTCTCGCTTCTTCTGTTTTCTCTCTCTCTAGAGCTCTCAACTGCCTTCGATCCCTTTTTCAACCCAACTACGTTTTCCTCAGATCCACGCTTTTCCATTCCATATATCTCCTACCTCATTTCTCGTCAATTTTGCTCTCACCTGGACTGAAATATCTAGGTCTAGCCCTTTACCCCTCTATGCCATTCCCGCAGGTCTGATTTATCTTTTTTTTTTTTATTTCAATTGGTTTTTTAAGTTATTCTTATAGTAATAATTTTGCTATACATGTCTTTTTGATGGATGAACCGGGTATTGAAACTTTTTATATATTTAGATCTGGGGCTGAATTCTGCATAACTGTATTGATGTTCTTGTAGCTCTGGATCGAGTAGATCTTGCGGTTTATCTGTTTGAAGAATGAGTTTTTAATTGGATTGTTTTATCCGTTTGCGGCTTTTGATCGGTGGATCTAGTTAGAGGCGCCGTGGTTATTTTCGATAAACTAACCTGAGCTTGCAAATTGAATTGTACGAATTTAGTTTTTTTTATTTTTCTGTTGTTTTCTTGGAAGATACCAAAGCACTATTGCTATACATAATTGATTGATGGGCTTAAGTCTGGTGGGTGTTCAGATTGTACCATACATAAAGAGCAAGGGGACACATTATCTGACTTAGAACCAATCAGTCTTTTTTTGATTGGGTGACAACTAGAACCAAGCAGCGTGCTGTATGAAAATAGCATGTAGGTTGTTAGGCTTCTGTTGTTGTTGTTGTTGTTATTGTTTTATTTTATTTTTTTTTTAAAAGTGAGAGTCATCTTAATTAGACTCGTTATGATCTTTTCCTGGGTTATTATGGCTTTATTCTGATTTACACGAAGAATAGAGTATGGAAATGCTTTTAGGTGATTAAATTTGTTAAGGACTGGCAAAGATGACAATTTACCACTTTTACTCCCTTCGCTTCAAAATGTAAGCATTTTCTCTTAGCTAATGTTGGTTCAAAATATAAGCAACCTATTGCATGTGAAAAATTTCCCCCCATTTTACCCCTTGTATTTATTAATTTAGATCCTTATGTAAATTTATTTTACACTCATCATGAAGTGCATTGATAATTGGGACCAGAGGTAAAAAAAAAAAAAAAGGAAAACAATATATGTTTTTATGAGAATGTGGACTTTATTGGTATGCTGATTTTTCCTGAAAACTGCTTATATTTTGGACAAGAGGGAATACATGTCTAGCTTGCCTCTATTTGTTGCTTTGTGATTCCTCCCACCCATTTCTTTCCTTTACTCGTTGTTTAGATGGTCTAAGGATTGAAAAGTGAGAACTAGATGTGCTGGTTTTTTTGATTCAATAATGTGCTGTTGATTGCTTTCCATTAAAGGTTCAGTCATGTTGCTTACGTATCTATTCTGTTTTATTTCTTATCGAATGGATTTTACCTTCATGCTTAAAAAGAAACGAATGACAAATTTTGTTTAGAAATTATTTATCAAACCTTTATGATAGGGTTGTTTTCATGGTGATCAGTAGTTTCCCCCTGTTTTTTGGTTGAGTTATTGACTACATGTCTATGTCTTCACTTGCTTATGTGCTTGTTTGTTAATTGTATCTTGTTGTGTGCATTTTATTTTTCTTTTTATTGGTGCATTTCCTCTGCAGCTCTATGCTTTGCATTTTAACACATGAATTTTAAATTTGAAAGTCGAATTGTGAGGGGAATTTCATTTCAACAGAGATATTTAATTCCTGCATTTCAGTGTTTTATGTACTCCCCTTACCTAGTCTCTTCCATGCATCCTTGGGCAACCTGCTAGTGGTGTCTTGCCATTGATGTAAATAATGCAATGTTTTCATTTATTTTCAGATTTTGATGACTGACTTGTCATTTGTTTCTTCTTCCAATGCAGTTGAGAAGGGTGTACTTGAACCAGGTTGTGTTGAGGAAATCCAGATTTATCCATATAATTTTGAAGTTCTCTTGGTGTATGCAAGATGGGTAAGTGCAAGGGTTGTGGGAAGTTAGGAAGAATGGGACCAAGGGGTGGATCTATTAGTGCTTATGAGTTTTCTCTGCTGTTGTCTCCGGTTGTCTCTTTTTGGGATTGCATAGTTCGCAAAATGAGGTATTCCTGCAGACCTGAGTGGGTGTAGTAATTTAGTGTTTTGACATTTACTCGGTAGAATAGGTTTAGCTTAAGAGTTTAGGGGAACAGGGGAAAAGTATTGCAGAAATGTATACAGTTTAAAGGAAATTTTCTTGAAGAAAAGGAGTTCGGAAAACACACGAGTCTTAGTTAGTAGGTAGCATTTTCCATGGATAACTTGGCATTCAATAAAGGGCAACATGTGAAGAAGGCAAAGAAGAAGCAAGTAAAAGATGAGTTAGATCGTTTGAAACAAGCTGAGAAGAAGAAGAGGCGCTTGGAAAAAGCACTTGCTACTTCTGCAGCCATCATTTCTGAGCTGGAGAAAAAGAAACAGAAAAAGAAAGAAGAACAACAGAGACTTGATGAAGAGGGGGCTGCAATTGCTGAGGCTGTTGCTCTGCATGTTCTAGTTGGGGAAGACACTGATGATTCTTGTAAAGTTATGAACGAAGGGAGAGGCAAGCCATGGAATTGCAATAGTAATCTTGACCTCTTCCTGGGCGGAAAAGGTGCTTGCTTTCCTCATCTCGATGGTGGCACATGGTCTGTGGAAAGAATGGGGTTGGTCTCTGGCGGATGCAGCTATGGCTATGAGTGGAGTGGTGCTGAGAATGGCAATTGGTATTTCTCGTTTGGACCTTTTGAAAAGAATGTGCACAAAGAACTGGTGCACAAGGAAGCAGGGTGGGGGCCTGATGGCTTTTCTGCTGATCTCATTGCAGCTCAAGCGGTTTCATCACTTCAGATTGCGGAGGATGCAGATGCAGAGAGGGTTCTTTCTTAACCAAATGCTAAGATGATATTGCATGCGTGTCGTTTTGGTGACCGGAGTTTCGTTTTATCACTGCAAAATGGCATCTTTGTATATATTATTATATTATGAGTGTCCGTCTTGTCAAACATATTCTGTTTGAGCATATTAGGGGTTCTCCTTGTTTTATGCCTGATTGTCTTGAACTGCACATGATGCTATATCACTCTCACATGTAGACTCTGGCTGATAATTTTCAGACTGATTCTGCGCAATATAAAAGCATCTATGGACCCTCGTTCTAGTTATGATTATTATGGTTGTCTCATTTTTTTTTTATTGCAATCAAATTTAAACACAATCAAATGAGTGAATTACTATGGTTGTCTCGTGAATAGGGTCATTTTCTATTATAAATGGTTTCACTACTTGTATTAAACACGATCAAATTAGTAATTTACTATCAGAGAATTTTCCACCGTGTATGTTGTAATGAAGCAATCTGCTCCTTCATATATTCACACTTTGACACTTCATTTTTTGGGTTACAAAAAAGAGTATGACATGTTATTTTTTTATAATTATTAAGTGGGATCTTTCAGGTTAAATATTTTTGTAGCAGATAATTACAAAGATACAACTATTGAGTGAATAATACCATGATAGCCTTTGTATATTGAAAAGTTATATGACTTCTTTTACTTCACGGTAAGATGTTGTAATGTTAAATATTGTGAGAATAATATTTTCTATGGGGAGTTTTCTTCAAGAGTGAATGTTTTGAGAATGTTGTAACATCAAAAGTTACTTAAGAATACAGAAAGTTTTGATTGAAATCGATTGTCACGATCACCAATCTTTATAGGCAAGGATTACAGAAAATAATGAAGGAAAACTGATATTCAATGGGAAATATTCATCAATTAGCAAAGCTTAAGATAAAGGCATGTTCGGCCAAGCCAGTTACAACCAAATTAAAACATCAACAGCAATATTAGAAGGAACAGATGAGTAGAAGGTCTAGAGAGAAGGGAGGCAAACTAAGGGAAGACAGTTTCTCAAAATTTTTTAATGCCCTCTCTACTGCTATTCTTCCACTCTTTTTTTTTTTTTTTGAGATACAGAGGCAAGCAAAAGCTTGAAAGTAAAAAAAAAATGGAAACTAAGTTCTAAATATTACTTTAAAAAAAAAAACTCAACTAGTACACCGTTTTTGGTCTTCAAGGAATCTTTCCAAACATCCTTGTAGGATGGAATGAACCAGTACTATTCCAAGCATATCTGAATTAGCATTCTTTGCCATATAATCAGCGCACATAATGGCCTCCCTGTTAGAGTAATAGAGTTAAACGTCTCTTGCATTTTACAGTAGCTCTCGGATCTCTAGCACAAGATTTCTTAGGGGATGATCCATCAAAGAATCTCAGCTTAGGAGATTTAGAGCATCCAAAGAATCTGAGTGTAAATTAATTCTCGAAAATCCAAGCTACTGGGAAACTAGCAACCTAGATTTAATAGCTTGTAATTCAGCCTTAATGAAGCCTTAATGACAGAACAATATCTCAGATCATAGTGGAAGCCCATGATCCACTCACCATCATGATTTTGCAGCACTCCACTGTATGCAGCTTTGTGTAAGTGTTGGACTGATCCATCAACATCGACATGTACCCTTCTAGTTGTGGGAGGTGCCCAGCATTGGTCATGAAATGTGATATCAAGGAAGATCTTATACTGAAATTTTTGGTTGATCACATTTTCCATCAACAGATAATTACACCTATGTATCATATTTGTAGTTGTAGATGTAATCACATAAAAAAAAAACTTGCATCTAGACGCCTGGAGTAACCAACAGATCGTTGCAAAGACTCTTGTCCAAGACCACGAGCCAAATTTTCTTCTTAAAGGATTCTATCTAGTATTCCACATGAGCCATACTTGTAAATTGCCAACCAAAAAAAAAAAAAAACTAGAGATGCTAGTTCTTAAAACATCAGACCACACCATCCTAGCTCTCTCATAGTGTTTTAAAATATGTAAAATAGTTTCCTTGCAACTATACTCAAAAAGACAAAGATAAGTGTTTGACAATCTTCTCTTGACTCTGAGTGAATTTGTGACTAGTTTCTGATGTGCAATTTGTCAAAAGAAATGCTTGACCTTTTTCAAGACATGCCATTTCCATATTTTACCCTAAATAGAAGGACCTCTTTCAACATTAGGTCTAACTAGGAAATTATAAGCACTTCTAATTGAAAACCTGCCATCTGCAGCTGGCTACCATTTATATACATCATCAACATTGACATTAGGTGGTTTGACCTTCAAGATAGTAGCTATAACCCACTGAGGTAATAAGCCCTACCATCTTAGAGCATTCCAATGACCAGTAAGGAGAACATGATTACAAACACAATTAGAAGGGTTGATAAGACCCGGTTGAGTAACAAACTCAATGAGAGGTTTATTTAGTGATAGCCATAAATCTCACCAAAACTTAATATTTACTCTATTGTTGATTGACCGATCCAACCTTAAGGTGAAGGAATACTTGATTTCTGCAATAGAACGCCACGTGAGGGAAGCAACATGACATCTCGTAACCAAGGGAAGGTGCATTGCCACATTTATATTTTGCCTTGAGGCATTTGACCGATAGGGCTTCCGGCTTCATTGCTAAACCCCTAATCTCCCACTCTTAACTGTCAATTTTGTGCCTTAATTTTCACCCTCTCAAGCCCAATTGAATAAAGCATTTGCGCCTATTTTCCATTAAGCCCATTCATGCATATCCTTCTCCATCAAATGGACCTTGTCCTCAAGGTTAAGTTTGGAATAATAACTTGAAAAGAATTCAAGGCTGCATAAAAAGGTGGATCAAGACCATTCTAATCAAAAAGTGATAAACCCATAAAAACAATTTAAGTATCCATAAGTGAATAGCAGCCTGTGTAGTACCAAATATTTCCAGTACAAATCATTGGACAAGAATAATTCTGGAAAAATCCTCAAAGTCGAAGAATGCACATTGTAACTGTTAGTCGACAAAGAAAACCCAAGTAGCCTTCATAAGAGGAAACGGTTGCCACCTTGACTTGAACGACGGAGGCACATGTTGAATAGTGATAACTAGATCAAAACAAATATATTGTTTGAGAGCATCCTCCATGTCTTATGACCCAAACGAGGCCTAGCCATGTAGGGGGATCCAAACAATTCCAAGGATTAAAATTGCAAGAGATCCGAGAAACTTGGAAAGGATAAATTATTCTCTACTCCAATAGCTTGACAGCATATTAATCTATAAGAAAAAAACTGCGCCCAGCAGACATATTGATCTACAATTTTGGTTCAATTTGCCCTTAAAATATTCTTTAAAAAGTAGTAAGTTGTTTAAAAGCGATGGCAGCGGACAGACAAAGTTGGCAGGTAAACTTGGTACATATCTGCCCTCTGGATAGAAGAGGTGCAGCATATTAAAATCTTTCCTTTTTGTTCACAAAAGAGAAATATGGACTTATTATGCTCGTGGCCAGAGCAGAAGAGAAAATTCACTTAATGGCAACCACAGCAAACTAGAGCAGCAGTCATGGGCTCAAGGATGATCGTAGGTCAAATCTTCTCAGGATATTGGTGTGTGAGCGCTTTAAGCCAAGATTAGATAAAGCTCCATATGAAATCCATAACTTATGGAATCTCCCTATCTCAACCTATGCGGGTCAAATTCCACATTCTTGCTTGTAGCTATCTGACTGAAACCCTGAACGCAAATTGTCATGGCTCTGATTTCAATCAAGGAATTTCACCTGTAAAAGAAGACGCTTTTCTATTTGGTCAGAATCCGATCTCTTTCTCTGATGCCTGCCATGTGTTTGAAAAAACGTCTGACTTAACCGTTGTGTCTGCCACCTCGATTATTGGCTGCTTTTCTAAGCAGGATCGCCATGAAGAAGCTATCCATCTCTTCTCAAGAATGCTTGCTTCAAACACCAGACCAAATGAGTTCACATTTGGAACGGTAATTCACTCATCCACTGCTCTTGAAAACCGTCTTGTGGGCAAACAACTTCATGGCTTAGCAACGAAGACAAGCCTTAACTCTAATGTATTTGTTGGTAGTGCTCTTTTAGATTTCTATGTCAAGTTGAGTACAATAGAAGATGCCCAGAAAGCTTTCGCAGATACCAAACATCCCAATGTTGTGTCCTATACAACCCTGATATGTGGGTACTTGAAGACAGGAAGGTATATAGATGCTTTGCAGCTTTTCAATAAGATGCCTGAGAGGAATATAATTTCATGGAATGCCATGGTTTGTGGGTGTAGCCAAACAGGCCATAACGAAGAGGCTGTCGATTTTTTCATCAGCATGCTTAGAGAAGGATTCTTACCTAATCAATCTACGTTTCCCTGTGCTATTTGTGCAGCTTCCAATATAGCAGCACTTGGGATTGGCAGAAGTTTTCATGCATGTGCAATAAAGATTTTGGGTAATCTTAATGTGTTTGTTAGCACTTCTCTGATTAGCTTTTACGCTAAGTGTGGAAACATGGAAGATAGCATACTGATGTTCAATAAACTCTCTAAAAGGAGCGTAGCTTCGTGGAATTCTGTCATATGTGGTTATGCTCAGAATGGGAGAGGAAATGAAGCTATAAGGTTCTACAAAAGGATGCTTTCTGCAGACTGTAAACCCAATGATGTCACCCTTCTTGGCTTACTTTGGGCTTGTAATCATGCTGGTCTTGTAGATGTGGGATATTCATACTTTAACCAAGCCAGGATTGAGAGCCCCAGCTTGCTAAAACCTGAGCACTATGCCTGTATGGTTGACTTGCTCTCTCGATCCGGGCGATTTACAGAAGCAAAGAGGTTCCTTCACGATATGCGTTTTGACCCTGGAATAGGGTTTTGGAAGGCATTGCTTGGAGGTTGCCAAATCCACTCAAACACGGGGATGGGGGAGATTGCAGCTAGAAAGATCTTGGCTTTGGATCCAGATGATATATCTTCATATGTGATGCTGTCAAATGCACATTCTGCAGCTGGTAGGTGGTTAGAAGTGACATTACTAAGAGAAGAGATGAAGAAGAAAGGGATGAAGAGGATTCCAGGTTGTAGTTGGATTGAAGTCAGGAATAAATCTCATATCTTTCTCACTGCTGACAAGAATCATTGTGAAAGTGACAGTATTTATGCCATCCTAAGATTTCTTATAGAGCACTCAAGGGAAAATGAGACTTCCAATTTGTTGACAGACTTGTGAATCAACTGTAGTTGGAATTTCGGTATAGCATGTTAATGTAGTTACCCAGTTTAGACGAAGGGGTCTTCATTTTCATTAAGAGTTGAACATCTAAGGTACATCAAAATTCCATTATAGACTGACTGAAACTTCCTCAGTAGCTTCTAACTTGGTGGTTCTTCATCACTTCATGCAGATAATTAATTTCATTCTTCATAGCTTATTAATAGTATATCTCATTATAAATTTCATATTTATTAATTAATATTAATGTTATTGATTTAGGAATGCCTCCGAAGTATGCCTAATCATAATTATTTACTAATCAAGAATCAAGGAGCAATCAACAAAAGATTTGAACGGCCGTCTCCCATAGCATAACTGTACAGGTAAGTAGGAAAGTGTGTAATTATAAAATTAATAGTTTTGACTTGATTGTAACAGTTTTTAAATTTTAATCATTGTAAATCAGTCTGTATAATTTTGATTTAGTTAAAACTAAATCCTTCTACTTTCAATCAATGAAATTCAATATTTATAATTTTGATTATTTAAAATATTAATGTCTAAGTTTTAAGAAGTAATTTTATGTTATGTTTGGATGCATATGAATTTAAATTTGAATATAAATTTAGATCAAATCTTTTGTTTGGCATTTAAAAGTTTATAGATTTGGATTTTAAATTCAAATTTTATGTTAATTTCTTTCTAATTTAAAATATTTTTTAAACTCTTGTTATTTCAAAATTTTCATATGCATCCTTAAAATACTGCCTAATAATAATGATAATCATTGTTATTTAAATTACTCAAAAAAAATGTTTAAATATATTAATTTAAAATGTGAGATTTTAAATTTAAATTTCTCAATCCAAACACTATCTTAATTCTTGTAATTTTATTTTTTTAAATATAAAAATTAATATTTTAAATATCAAAATTACAATCATTAAATTTTTGTTATAAAAATCACGAATCATAGTCGGTAAATGAGTACAAAAGGTCATCTTTCCAAATGTACCGTGTTGCTGCATTCTGAGCTAAAGAATTCGCGGTAATTTTTGTTTGGAAAAATCGCACCTAATGCCCAAAGGAGAAAATTGTACCTATAGTCAAATACATTTTAAAATTATTCTATAGGTCCGAGAATATGTTCTGCAAATAAGAAAGAGAAAAGACGCAAAAGGAGAAAACTTAATATTCACTGTCAATTGACAATTATTTATTAATATATAGATTTAAAATTATAATTTTGTAAATATTTAGTTTTAAAAAATTTAAACTTACTTTTACAAGATAAATATATAAATTTTAAATTTTGACTTATAAATAAATGAATATGTATTTATAAATATTTAAACTTTAAATTATTTCTGGCCAAAAAAAACTTTAAATTATAAATTTGTAAACTTAGTTTACATGAACTTATCAGCATTAAATAAAATTTTTATTATCAATAGTCAATTACTTATTAATATCTGATTTTAAAATAATGAATGTGTGAATATCTTTTTATAAAATCTAAATTTTTACTTGTTAATTTTTCTTACTAAGGATGATTGTATTTTTTTTTCCTAAAATATATTGGTCCAAAAAATCCTCAGGCTTACAAAATAATTTTAAAATATATTGAGCCCTAAGTGTAATTTTTGGTCTTCATGAAGCCTGGGTGAGAGTTTCCCTTTTTCCTTTCTCGCGGGTATGTCAAGCCGTTGTTCGACAGTTAATTGTGGTTTTTCGCTCTTCCGCTAATAGTTCCCTCTATCTACACAGAATATAAATTCTGCAAGATCATCCATTTACCGTTGTGAAAGAGAGAAACTTGGAGGGTTTTTCAGTATCCTAAGGCGAAAGCCCACTCTCTTTCGAATCTCACAGGCAATGCCCCAACGAGTACAGAAGAAAAAGACTAGAGGTTGCTGGAAGGGTGGGATTCGTTGTTCCTTTAATTGAAACTATTTCTTGAAGAGGAATACAGAGGAACCCGCGTAGGTAGAGTTTAGAAAGAGATACAGGAAGTGGGGTTGAACCGTGGAACGTTTTAGGGTTTTCGATAAAGATGACGGAAGTGATTCTGCATATATATGATGTTACCAATAGCGACTCAGAGAAGACGAATAGCACAATCGTTCAGATCAATAAGATCTTCAAGGATGGGATTGGTCTCGGTGGTATATTCCACAGCGCAGTTCAGGTGTCTCTCATTCCCATTCGTTGTATTGAGGTTTATAAACAGTAAATGGCTGTGTCTTGAATCTCGATTGGGATGTTCAAATGTTCATGCAGGAGTGTGATTGTTAAATGTATGGCTTCATTGGTAATCAGGATTCAGAATTAATCTTTAGTTAGTCTGTTGGCCTTTTTTCTTCTCTGCACGAGTGTTTGGATGGGGATGAAAGCATTGTGATTGACAAAACGCAGTTGATTAGATATCCTAGTGATTTTCTATCCTCTCTTGGCATATCTTGTGAGTTGTTACTGGGTAGCACTTTCTTGTGGTTCTCAGCGTGTGTATTACGCTCCAGCATATACTAGTCAAGGATATGTTGGCAAATGCCGACCGATCTATTTGATACTTATATTTTAGAGGGTAGTTCCTAGTACTCTGTGTTTCTGTACTGTTGTTCAATGTTGAACAGCATTAGACAAAGGTGGGAGAAGAGTTTGTAAGGTATTTTAACCATGAGTGCTGCATGGCTACGACTTCTGATGTGTTAAGAGGAAAAATCATACAGTTCTATTCAATGCTCCCAGTCCAAGGTAAAACAGTTCATCTGGAAGTTTCAACAGGAATCATTGAGTTACCTCTTTGTTCCACTTGAGGATAAGGGAAGTGGCAGTATCGGGTTTTGCAGCCTCCTTGATAATCCTTGATAATTAATACTATATTTTTTCTAGGAAGGAAACTGCTGCTATAGTAATATTTGCTTGTTTGGTATTTATCTGGACATTTAAAGGTTTTTTTTTAATCTTAATTTTCTTATACATTAACTTTGTGCAGCTTCCTTGATATTGTGGTAGGCCTATGATTTCATTACGGTGCTTATATTTTATGGATTGTTTCTGCACGGTCACAGGTTTATGGAGAAGATGAATGGTCATTTGGATTTTGTGAGCAAGGTACTGGGGTTTTCAGTTGCCCCTCCATGAAGAATCCAATGTATACATATCGTGAATCAATTGTTCTAGGGGTAACTGATTGTTCAATTCTCAAATTAAATCAAATAATAAGAGAACTTAGCAGAGAGTGGCCTGGAATTTCGTATGACCTGTTATCCAAAAACTGCAACCATTTCTGTGATGAATTCTCTGAAAGGCTTGGTGTGCCTAAACTTCCAGGTGAATCACCTAATATAGGGCATCTCTTATTATATGGCTTGTCTTTTATGTTTCTAACCATTGACTTGGCCATTTTCACTAATCGTAATATTGTAGCTTTTATAAATAATACTGTTTGACCATTCAATTTCTGCCTTGTGTCCATGTCTGCATAATGACAATTCTGAGTTTGTGGCTTTGTGCTGGGATTTTCATTACAAGTCTATTGCATATTGTAGAATATTTGATCCCAGAAATCAATTTTGCGTTGAATCTTCTCATACCTAAAGCTGATTTACGGAACACTCTTGATGTGGATGGAAACTCAGCATTTCTTTTCAGTTAAGGAAAATGAAACTGGAATTGTACAAGCTGAGTGATAGTGATATGCTCTTGCATGATGAGTGAGGTCCTTGGATGATTTCAGGAGTACGTATACCTCCCTTGTAGGAAGATGTCAAAGGAGTTGGGATTCGGTGGATCTTAGGGAAGATAGGAGTTGAGATGATGTGACAAGTTATTTATGTGAACTTTCAGCTGGATCAATTGATAGTTTAGCTTGCTTTATCTTGTGAATTATTGCCACATCTTTTCTTACGTATTCTATGACAGGTTGGGTTAATAGGTTTGCAAATGCTGGGGACTCAGCTATGGAAGTGGCCGAAAATACAGCCATACGGGTAAGAAATGATTTTCTTGATCCTTATTCCTGCATTATGTTCATTTTTGCGTACAAGCTTCTTTTATTGAAGGTTAATTTTTATGATACCTTGGTGGATGCGTAACTTTCTTTTAATGCTTAACAAGTTTACTTGTTCACTAGCTCGTGTTGATTGGGCATCATATTCAGGATTTGTTAGCCTTGCAATTGTCAAATAATTCTTTGAGGTTTTTAATGTTCGCCTCAAATGCCTTGTAATTTGTGGCTTGGCGGCCTGCAATCGGTATCTGTATGCTTGATAATGTCCTGCAATCTTGGAATTTAAGATCTGGGTAGTAATTTGTTTTGTGCAATATGCTCTTTAAATATACAACCATCATTTACTCAAATACTGGTTACTTCAGCTTCGTCAAGCTAGAACAGAGATTGTATCAGCAAGCAAAGTAGCATACCGGTTCCTGTTGGGTGTTACTAGTGATGTCAGAGGTGATTCAGGCCCCTTGAGCAACTCAAACAATGAAGGGCCACCGAGATTTCAAGCTACTTGGTTTAAAAATCTGATTACTACTGGTGCTAAGCCATCGAGTAGTTCAGAAATGCAGAATCTGGATGAGCGTGAGCAGCTCCAACAAAGGCAAGAAGATGATGGAAGGGCACTGCATCGTCATAATTCATCTTCACATGATATTGATTGAAGGACTAGTCTCTGTTAAAAGCTTAGGTTTTCAGAATGCTGTGTATTGTATTTGTACGTCAATTGTATGAATTCCTCAAATACATAGGTCAAACAAACAGTGCATATTCGGTGTTGTTCTATAGGCAAGATGTATCTAGTGCCAAATTCCTAATCATCCCTATTGTTTAGAAAATTTATGAAATTAGATTTAATACATTGTAATTTAAATATTGAGTTGTAGCACTAAGTAAAAAGCATATGACTTGATTAAACGAATTTTGAAAATTCCTGTGTTCAGATTTTTTTTATTCTTATGGACCAAGGAAAATTGGCTTTTTATTCTTTTTTCCCCCGATGAAAAACAAAATTTATTAATGAAGACTACAAAAGGAAAGCAAGAAAGGAAAACACCGATGTCATGTTGCAAAAGTTGCAACTGCCATGATGCCAGTAAGTGTCGTTAACAAAGTGCTGCGAGGAGGACTTACGTAGACGAAGTCGTAGAGGGAAAGAAAAATGTTGAGTGAATAGAGGTTTGAGAAGCACAAGAAATAAAACGCCTGCGGCAAAGCCAAGAGTTGAAGATGTAGCCTGCCAACCCTGCCTCTTGCACGAAATTGCCAAACATGGACCAAACAAGTATTCCATGTAATGTTGATCCATAAAGCTATAGAAGAACCCTCTCGCTGTATGTTGCCAAATTCCACCAACTAAAAATTAGGATGTTGCAGCAATGTACAAGGTGGAACTGGTGACTCCTTAAAAGATCCTGTTAATCGACGTTGAGAGTGCTTAACAGACACCAGACTTTAGAGAACTGAACATACAAGACATTGCACGTGAATTCGGATTGATATTGCTTCTGCCGGCATGAATTCTTTCCCCGCAAAACAAATTTTGTTTCGGAAGAAACAGATTGCATCTGACATACAAAACGGGAGAAGATCAGATACACCAACGTCAGTTTGAGCTGATTGAAGAGTCAAGTATTGATTAATCCAAAATATCAGCCATTCCTGAATGGTCCATTCACGATGATCATCAATTCGGAAGTTCAATAAACTGCAATAAGCCCTAGCAAATGTACAACGTAAGTATATCTATTAATTTTATCATGCTATATCAATTAATTTTATTCCTTATATCGTGATATCGTGATCATTAGGATCAACGTAAATTATTTGCTAGCCTTGAAATTGATTTGTAATCTTAAAAGGTGAAGATTTTTTTTTTAGATGGAAAAAAAAAAAAAGAAGATAGCAGTGGCTAGGAGAAATCCTTAAAGCTCATTTCAATTCATGGTGTATCTTTTTATTTTTTTGGGCCATGAACAAAACTTCTGCATCAACTACTGAAGATTTCATCCTTTTCCGAAATATGCCTTCAAATGCCAAGAAAATCGAAATTCGTGCCGACAAACATCCTGCAGCATGTAGAAAGTTTGTCGAGGAATTGCCAAGACTAAAAAAAAATGATGTGAAGAATGATATGCATAGTTGCTGTTAAAGCTGCAGCCATAAAAGGACAAACCTGCAATTTTTGCTTTCCTACCGTTTTAGTACATCCTTTTTTTCCAAATAATGATCCTCCAACAGAACCAATCAACCAAGCCATTACAGCACCTTAATGAATGCATGGATGCGGAATGCTACTTTAATTCCTATTCGGCATACGAACCTTTTGATTTGCGGACTATAGTAGGCATTGATAAGCATGCCATTGCCATCTAGGAAAGGGGAAAAAAGAACATCTATTTGGAATAACTCAAATAAATAAAGAAGGTTCACTCAAGCCTTTGCATTATTTGGAATCAGTTCAAGAAGCCAGAAAAATCCCCGCATACTCGGGGTGTAAGAGTCACTCCACACAGAATTTAGCTCCATCTTACGCGGTTGAATAAAACATGGTGGTGACTTTATAGATCAGACACAGCTGAAGCAGAATATTTTCGAAAGGGACCACACTCAACAACAAAATATACAGACGACATCCTTCAGTAACATAATAATACATGTTTCTTCCAGCCACCAAACCAACACATGCTGTGACTACATATCAGCAATCCGCTAAAAGAAAACCCGTCCTTCATCTGCTACCGCATCTTCTGCAATGTGGAGCGATGAAACTGCTTGTGCTGCAATAAGATCAGCAGAAAACCCATCAAACCCGCATCCTGCTTTCACATTCATTGGTTCATGCACATTCTTTTCAAAAGGTTCAAATGAGAAAGACCACTTGGCATTTTCAGCGCCACCCCAGCTGCATGCATCAGAGACCCAACCCATTCTTTCAACAGACCACACGCCGCCATCTAGTTGAGGAAAGCAGGCTCTTTTTCTGCCCAGGAAGAACCCAAGGTTACTATTGCAGTTCCAGGACTTGCATCCACCTTCATCCCTAATTTTACAGGAATCATCTGAGTCTTCACCGAGTAGAACATGCAGAGCAACAGCCTCAGCAATTGCAGCCCCCTCTTCATCAAGTCTCTGTTGTTCTTCTTTCTTTTTCTGTTTCTTTTTCTCCAGCTCAGATATGATGGCTGCAGAAGTAGCAAGTGCTTTTTCCAGGCGCCTCTTTTTCTTCTCAGCCTGTTTCAGACGATCCAGCTCATCTTTCACCTGCTTCTTTGCCTTCCTCACATGTTGCCCTTTATTACATGCCATGTTATCCATTATGTATATATGGCCTCTAACTACTAGGACTATTTTTTATTGTTTTTCGGTGCAAACTTCTATTCAGTAAACTATACTTAGAACTGTATACATTTCTCTAAATTACCTTTCTTCCCCTCTTTCCCTAACTATTAAGCTAAAAGATATCTGATTATGTGAAAAGTCAAATTAACAATTATAGGCTCCAACCACTACACCCACTCAGGTCTGCAGGAATACCTCATTTTGCGAACTATGCAGTCCCAAACAGAGACAACTGGAGATAATAGCAGCGAAAATTCATAAGAACTCACAGATCCATCACGCGGCCCCATTCTACCCAACTTCACACAACCCCTGCACCTAACCATCCTGCAAACACCAAAAGGACTTCAAAATTTTCAAGATATCTGGATTTCACTCCACACTGGTTCAAGCACACCCTTCCCAACTGCATTGCAAATAGAAACACAGAATATTTAATTCATCAAAATCTGAAAGTAAAACAAAATAAATTACATAAATTAGACAGAAAATGACAGCCCACAACAAACTAGTTGTCCATGGAAATTTGAACAAGATGTCAGAAGCATATGAAACACTGCAAATGATGGAATAAAATATCCCAACTAAAATGAGAATCCCCTTACAATTAGCCATTCAACATCAAGATTTATCCGTGAAAATGTAAAACTGAGTGTGCTTACCAAAGGAAAAAAACATCTTCACTTTCCATTCTTTATTTCAAATTTTCAATTACCTGAAATATCATTTTCACTTTTAAAGCTTTCATCCAATAGGATATGCGCTTCCTAAGAAAAATCACAATGTGTATTTTGCTTTCATTTTGAAACCCCGTAACCTTACAGACCATCAAAGGAAATGAAAAATAAACACACAAATACGCATTCAGAATTACATGTTTACAAAAATGCCACAAGTCTTATGGGCGAAATGCAGGGAACATCTAAATTCAATTCTTGTTTTGGAAATTGAAACCATTAAAGAAAACGTTTTCATGAAAATATTATCACTGAACTCAAGAAAACATAACTTTTGTCACAATATCTGTCTTAGTGAAAAAACAGAAAATAAGGAGACCAAATAGGCTCCAAGGCACAAAGCTCCAGGGAAAATGCTCAAATAGAAAGACAAATACCAAAGTCTAAGAATAACACAAACATGGACACATGGACGGGTGAAAGATATAAAATATTCAAAAGCTCATAACTATAACCCCAAATTGAAAGGAAAAAAAAATCACCCTGCAAATAATCATATGCTTAAGGTTTAAAGAAAAGATTCCGAAAGAAAATATTCATTACTTTTAGCATGGAGAAATCTTTTAATTGAATAGAAAATTAAACGGAAAAGAGAGCAAAAAGCAATCCCCAGGCTAAGTAAATGACAGGTGAAGGGAAAAAAAATGCGTGATATTCTTCTTTCTATGAAACAAATCCACAGTTTTCATCGTTATCAGCCCAAAATAAACAATTTAATTGCCTAAAAACATGTTGATACTCTTCTTTCTCTGAAATTGGAACAAATCCACAGTAACCCAGGAAAGGATCATAACAAGTCGGATTAAGTTTGTTCACTACTAAATAAGACAAATAACATAACATACATGTGGAAATGAAATAATTTAGCAAAACATGCTTTTTGCATACCGTAAACTGATTGGTTCAAAATTCTAGAAAGTGCGCCTTCGTGACTTCACTATCGCCCTCAAGTATCAACAGAACACCCACCAAATTTACACTCTTTGTTTATCTATAGCGAGATTTTTTTCGAATGTCCAAAGAAAACCAGAGGGCAGAAGAAATTATTTATTTTCCTACAATTCAACTAGCAACCACATGCAAGTTTAATCTCTCTAAATCCACCAATCCAAAAATAAGAACAACAAGAATACCAATTTCAATAAAGAAAATCAAATACACAGCGATATCAACCACAAGACCTACTCGACCTAGAATCCAAAACATCAAATTTTCTCCCAGTACATCAGCAATTCAGGTCCGGATCCAGATTCCCACAAGGGTTCAATACCCATTGCATGAAAAATTACAACAAAACCATCATCATATAAATAACAAAACAGATTAATTTCAATCAGAAAACGATAAATCGGACCTGCGGGAATGGCATAGAGGGAAAAGGGGTTGGACCTATCACAGTCCTGAACAAAAATCAAAGGAAACTCAATAAGGATGAAGATGGCAAAGAAAATCGAAGTGCGGGGATCTGAGGGCACCGCAGTTAGGGTTGAAAAAGCAAGTAAAAGTGGAGGCCAAAGAGAAAAAATGGCGAGCAGTTTAGAAGGAAGGAGAACGCGGGCAACAACAGAGAACCGATAACGTCACAGGCGGAAGTTGCAGAATTGGTGGTGGACACGTGTCAAGTTATGGCTTAAGGGAAGAGAGCTGCTTAGGTTTGCCTGTGTCATTTCCTCGTGTTCCCATTACGTGGCATGAAGTGGACAGATCTGACTTCAAGTGGGACCCATGTGTTAAATCATGGGCCTCATGGTGGCCGATCGATCGGGCACCTTTTTCGCGTATGGGGCTCCGGTTTGGTAGAATGGACGGTTGAGATTCTCTTTAAAACATTCATTGTGGATCCAAGAAACCAATGATCGGTTAAACCAGAAAAACGCGTTTACTGCTTGACTTTCAGTGGCTTTTGTCTTGCGCGGGAGATGAGCTTTGCTTTCAATAACAAACAGCATAATTAGTCTTTGGGAAAGTGGCATTAAAAACCTTAAAAATATATTTTATTGTAATTTGAATTTAAATAAATATAATATTATTTTGTAGGCCTTGAAGTCCTTATTGTCAATTTTTTTGAGACTAAAAGTAAGATTTTACTCTTTATTTAATTTGAATTTAGAATTTGTGGGAACTCTCAAAATAACAAAATAGACCATATACGATGTAATATCCATTATACATAAGACAATGTCCACGCATCTCAATAGAAAGTCCATGCATTTCAAGTATTTCACTAGCTTTGGCTTTAGCAAAAATGACTAGGCAGACCATGCATGACACAACATCTACTATGCATAATACGATATCCACGTGTGCTGAACAAAAAATTCATGCATTTTCAGCATTTCACTAGCCTAGGCTATAACAAAATGACATTAGGTAGATCATGCATGACACAACATCCAGTATGCACAAGACAATGTCCACCTATACTCAATAGAAAGTCTATACATTTCAATATTAAGAAAGACAATTACATCATATATGAATAATTTCATGTTGGTATTAGCCTAGGTATTAAAACAAGTACTCACATGAAATTTGACATAATATTTCAAGTCTAATATATATAAAAGTTAGCCACTATATTCAAAATATCTAACAGTTGCTTCTCTATATACAAACAAAAAATATTTGTGATTCCCACTTACCTAAAAAATATTATTTAAAAATGCTTTCATATACATAATTATAGTTGCTTGTGTACACTAAAGAAGCATAATGTAACCACTTCTCATGCTGGATTAGGATTCTTGCATGCCTTGCAATTATGTCTAGCCTTCCCACATCTTGAACAATGATAAATCTTTTTATCTTAAAAGACTCTATCCTCCTTATTCGTGGCCTCCCGAGAGGACGGCTAGTTAAAGACGATTGTAAGAAAAAAAGTTTGTGATATATTCTCACCTGAAAGTCCATGTGATTCCAATTTATTATTATGTTAGACTTAACAAAATACTGAAGTTAGGCAAATAATGCATAACACAATATTCACTATACACAATATAAGGTTCATTTATTCTCAACTAAAAGTCCATAAGATTCTGCTTTATTAATAGGTTAGGCTTGATAAAATACACAAGTAAACAAACAATGCACAGCACAATATCCACTATGTACAATATAAGGTTCATATATTCTCAACTAAAAGTTCGTACAATTCTACTTTATCAATAAGCTAGGCTTAACAAAATGCACAAATAGGTAAATAATGCTTAACACAATATCTACTATACACAATATAAGGTTCATTTATTTTTAACTAAAAGTTTATAAGATTCTACTTTATCAGTAGGCTAAGCTTAACAAAATGTACAAATAGGTAAATAATGCACAACACAATATCCACTACGTACAACATAAGGTTCATATATTCTCAACTAAAAGTCTATACGATTCTACTTTATCAGTAGGTTAGACTTGACAAAATGTACAAGTAAGCAAACAATGCACAACACAATATCCACTACGCCAACATAAGGTTCATATATTCTCAACTAAAAGTCCATACGATTCTACTTTATCAGTAGGCTAAGCTTACAAAATGTACAAATAGGCAAATAATGCATAACACAATATCCATTATACACAATAAAAGGTTCATTTATTCTCAACTAAAAGTCCATAAAATTCTACTTTATCAGTAGGCTAGGCTTGACAAAATGCGCAAGTAAGCAAACAATACACAATATAATATCCACCATGCACAACACAATCTTCATATATTCTAAACTGAAAGTCTATGTGTGTCTAGTTTATCAGTTGGTTAGGCTTAATAAAAAGTTTCTCAAGTTTATGAACAATAAAAAGTCTGTATATAACATGACAAAGTCCATTTATTAACAATACAATGTCCATCTATTTCACATGATTTGTATGATTAAACTGAACATTTGAAAAAATTTCTAAAGTTTATGAAGAACAAAAGGTCCGTATATAACACGAAAGTATCCATTTGCTAACAACACAATATCTATATATTTACAATATAAGGTTTGTCGATATGATACACATAAATATCCACACAAGTTAATTGCAAAGTTTGCACAATGTACACTCCATAAATAATAATATAAATTTTATAAACAACATCTACAACAGAACATTTATATCAGTTGTAGAAAAATATGTATTAGAAACAACAAAAGTCTATAAATGATAACTTGTTTTCATTAAATGAACGTGAATGTGTACATTATGATTAGATAAAATTGATATGGCTCAAACTCTCTCTATATCCTTTTTTGATAAAATAAAACTGATAATGGCAAATAAAACACTTGATCCATTATTTTCACACTATAACGGATCGTTTCAAGAAGCTGGTTGACATGAGAGGAATATAATTGGATGAATGCCTGATCGTCTTCTCCACACCCATCTGGATAAAAGTGGATCGCCCACTCATACCTGTTGAATGAAAAAGCTTCAAA